TAGATGACTTTAGCCCCCCAAATAGCATTTGTATGTTCTCAGCCTTCAGACACGAGTTACGTTGAGAAGGCAACTTGTAGCAGGTTTGTTTACTCTCTCTACTTACCCGTTTGAAACAAATTACATATAAAATTTGTACTGTACTAAATACAATTTAGTATAAATTGTATTTATAAGTACTATTACTGTATATATACTGCATACTGCATACCTTATACTAATCCTGTATAAATAAATACTATTTATAAATACTATAAACACTAAATACTAAAAAAGAATTTATTCTCAAAGTAGATGCCTGGCTTTTCACCATCAAGACCACCGGTGCAAAATTATATGTATGTGGAGCGTGTGGGTTTCTGTGCTGTATACGTGTGTGTGCATATGCGCTGTGTGTGTGTGTGTGCATGCAAGTACAACACGCATCACATGTGTGCGTGTACCCAGGAGTACATCTAGGTCTTATGGGGCCTGAAGCTTATAATCTGGGGGACACAAGTAGGTCTAGGGCTCCTCCTGGGAGCCTATGCAGGAGAAAGCCTTGAAGCTCAACTAGCTTCTTGGCAACTCTACTTTGCACATACATGTGCGTCCATGAACTATGTATGTATGCACGAAGATACATAGAGAAACCAACCAGAGTTACTGCCCCTTAAACAATAGCCTTGGTTCCATTGTTTAGTACGATAACAGCACCTTTTACAGTCGGTACCGGGTATTTCTTTTCTGGGGAGACAGAGAAGATTTATCACGAATTAAATGGGCCAAGAATTTTTTGACAGGTGCTTTTGAATTCAAGCCAGTGGTCATTAGCTAAGTTAAATATGCAGTGCTATGGCTCATGCTCTTTATTTTCAGCAGGCAAATAAATATAACATATATTTTTTTAAAATTTTTTTAATGTTTATTTATTTTTAAGAGACAAATGGGGGGGGGGTGGGCAGAGAGAGAGGGAGACACAGAATTTGAAGCAAGCTCCAGGATCTGGGCTGTCAGCCCAGAGCCCAACATGGGGCTCGAACCCATAAACTGTGAGATCATGACCTGAGCCAAAGTCGGACGCTTAACCGACTGAGCCACCCAGGTGCCCCAAGTATAACTTATTTTTAAATGTCTTTTTTTTAATCCAGAGATCTTTTTGTTAGTATTACTTTTTAGATATGATCTTCTGTGTATGTGAATATTTTAAGAGTGTAGCAAGAGAACAGGCTGGGTGTCGAAGGGAATAGGAGGCAGGGGAGATGGGATAGGATGGGAGGCCGCCTTTATTTATTTGGAAAGCTGTTGTAGACGAGACACATGTTCTGTGTTGTTCCAGAGCCAAAACTAGGAACCGAGGTCCACGAGATTGCAGGGGAGGCCAGGTTCCAACTTAACAGAAGAACTTCCTATCAACTCGAGCTGTCCAAAAATGGTTTGCTTATGTTAGTGGCCAGCTGCCCATCACTGGAAGTGCTCAGCCAAAGCTACTTCTTGGCAGGGGAAGGGGAGGCAGGGGACTTCTACTGAACACAAGTTTGAGTCGATCGAAGTAACCTCTAGAATCCTTTCTAAGATTGCAAGCTGTTATCGGGCACACGCTGTTACTGCCAACCACGCATACACAGGGCATGCACAGTAAGTTGGTTTTTCCCCCGTAGTAGTGATGCATTTGTGCTAAGCCAGCCACATTCCCCGACTGAGCCCCTGGTTGCTGAGGAAACATGTCTGTGAATGGACTGATCCATCTATGGCCGTACTCTATGGTCTTAGAGTTGAATTTTCGCACCCATTAGTCAGCCGTCCCAGGTGGCACTTACAAATGTTACCTTACTGGTTCTCATAACGGGCTTATGGTTTAGGTAAGGAACTGGCAGAGTTCCACTCGATTCACCCGTCCCTGCTTTCTTTTGCACAGATAGGAACCTTCTCTGCCTGGCTCCCTTTGCCAGCTGTGGGATGAGAGACAGAAGAGAGCCAGCACAGAAGGCTGAACAGGTCTAGGGCAGAGAACCTGTCAGTCCTTCCGTGGGGCTGCCCACCGGGCCAGGGGGAGGTGTTGGAGAAGCCAGTATGGGTGAATGGCCTCCCTTAACCTTTTTCTTTTCTGGAGGGAGAACATAACAATGACCATGACCCACACACCCCTTCTTTGTTCTCCCCGTGCGACTGCCTCAAGGGTCCACAGGTCTGCCCTGTGCCACTTTAATAATATCAGTAATGACAATGATGGTGGTGAGGACAGTGGTGGTCACAAAACCAGCTAGTGTTTGCTGAGTTATTACTACTTGCTGGTCGCCGTGATGTGCTTTTCACAGGGATCGCCTCATCCAGTCCTCACACTGATTCTACGAGGCAGTTATTAACGTGACCATTTTATTTATTTATTTTTTTTAATTTTTTTTTTCAACATTTTTTTGCTTATTTTTGGGAGAGAGACAGAGCATGAACGGGGAGGGCAGGGGTGAGAGAGGGAAGGCTACAGAATCAAACAGGCTCCAGGCCTCGGCCATTATCAGCTCAGAGCGCGACGCTGGGGCTCAACTCACGGTAATCATGGCGATCACGGTGACCTGGCTGAAGTCGACGTGCTTAACTGCAAAATTGGCACACCCGGTATGCCCCTCTAACGAATTCATTTTAAAAAACCAGGAAACTGAGAACTAGAGAGAGTGAAGAGCGTGCCCAAGGCACCAGTCTGACTCCAGAGCATAGACTCTTCCCCATTCTGCTTTATTGCCTCACTTTCTATATGTACATAGAGAAGTGGAAACACAAAAAGAAGTGACCTGCCCTGGCTTTGACCACCTCCCAGCAGAAGAGTCTTTAACCACCTCACAGCGGGACATCTGCAGCCCTGGGAGGCACTCCCGAGGAGGGGCCAGCATGAACACACGTACCTCACCTGCTCCCTCCTTGAACCCTCCCAGCAGACTTCCAAGGCAGATGCTGTTTGCATCTCACAGGGAAGTTCAGGGACTTGCTCAAGGTCACCTGGTGCAGAGGGGCTGGGACGCAAGCCCAGGCGGCCGCATCTGCACGTCCGTGCCTTCCCCGCCACATCAGCCTGCCTCTCTGAACGAACAAAGTTGAACACCCTCACAGACACTAAATTTATATTTCCTGGCCTCCTCTTCCAAAATGGATACACTAATTACTGACCATTTTTTTTAGTAATAGTAATCATCAGGAACACATTTTTCAGTGTGTTCGTTTTCTCTTCTGCGTACTACCGAAATAAAGCATTGCTGAAACCCACAGGATAAAACCCAGCGGGTGTGAGGCCGTGTAAATTAAGAAAAGTTCAGGAAGACATTACAGTAAACCCGAAGAAACAAAGTGTTGATTAGGGACTTATTTTTGTACGCGATTAAAATATGAATCATTAAAATAGGACCGTATTTCAGGCTCTATATTCTCATCGCATCAGAGACGACATTACCATGACTACTAGGTTCAGATTAGATGGGCTCCAGGCCTCCTGAGCTCAGAAAACACAGTCGTGTGCACCACGGTTCTACCTGACACGGAACATTTGTAAAAGTCTGGCCCACGACACCTCTGCATCTTCTCACCCATGTCATCAAAAGGAAATTCCCAAGTGACATGCTTGTCTTCAGCTCTTTAAAGGCTTGTGCTTTATTTCATCGTAATAGTAAATAGTGTCACTAAGTAATAATGTTAATGACAACCAACACTCAAAGGTAGAGGAAGGAACAGAATCAAAGCAAAGACACAAAGGCACCTCAGGAGTCCCTTAGAACACAGCGATCTTGAACTTTATTTGGTACAAAGGGTTTGCAGAAAGAAAGAAACTAATATGGAGCGTTTCTTGGGTTCAGACAGAGTTTAAAAGAAAAAAATAATTCAGCAATAGCCCAAAATATGCAGTTAAATCAAGTGGTTCATTAAAGTATCTGTTAAAAATGGCTAAAATTAGAGACAAAAGCCCATTGTCTGGTGCAATTGTTGACTGCCTGCATATCTGTATTTGGAAGGGCGTAGGGGGACAGTCAGAAGCCTGTGGTATTTTAAAGATTCATCACCCACCCCTAAGGGGTTTTGAGCACCCACCTGCATTTTTGAACTTGAATCTAAGCCAAAGAGGTGGGACAAGACAATGACAGGCTTTGGGGGAGGTTTTGTTTTGCTAATTAACTACTCAGTGGACATTTTAAATACCAAATATATCAGAACAGAGGCACCTAGTTCAGACCAGCCCCCACCATCCTCTGCGAGGGGCTGACATCTAGAGATGATCTTCTAGAGGCCTGTAGAACCTTGGAGCGATGCCTGTGTGTATTTTTAAAGGAGGGGAGCATCCCAGAATGTGCCAGTTCTTTATAGGGTATCTTTCATAGTTAGCCCCTCTGACTGGGGTTGTGCGTTTTTCATACGCATTCTCTTCCTGCCTGGGGTTGGGATGGGTTTGAAAGGCTTTTGTTTTGTTTTGTTTTTTTCCTGTCGGAAGCTCTCTATGAATTGCCAGTGGAGCATCAAAAATTTTCATACTTAATGACATCATTCTTCTTTGGTTAATCAGAAATGCAAGCAAAGATTGATAGGAAAATATTTTTCGCAAGAATGATAGCAACAATTGGAATCGTTGAAATGCCCAACAAAGTCCGGTACCTTCCTGCGATGGGCTGTCATTTTGCAGCTAGTGGAGCCGTTCAATAATGTGGAGAGAAAAAGAGACATACAAAACCCTAGTACAAGCCTGATTCTCACTATAAAACCATAGATAGTGGTAACAGGACTCCTTTCTCTGCGCGATGGGATTATAGGTGCTTCCCGTTCTCTCGTTTTCAGCATTTTTTAAGCATTTTTTGTATATTCCTTTCATAATTTAAAAAGTCCAATTAAAACAACGATCCCATGGCTCCAACCTTAGGAGTTTCCCCTGTGTGCTCCATGCACATCTGGCCGACCATTACGTCATTGCCACCCATAGAGTCGAAGCCCAGTGTGTTAACTAAAATATTCCCTTTGCTCTAGTTCTCTTTCTGTTTTCTTCCCAGGTGATGTGCTCTATGAACTCCTTCAGCATATTCTGAAGCAGAGGAAACCTCGGATTCTTTTTTCACCCTTCTTCCACCCCGGAAACTCTATACACACACAGCCAGAAGTCCTACTGCATCAGAACCATGAAGAAGGTACCAGAGGAACCTTTTCTTTCCTTTCATCAGGGTTAGACAATCCAAAAGGTTTCATCATTTATTGGATGCGTTGTTCCTATTCATGTGATTGGTTTGTTATTGAACAAACATGTATTGATGCCAAGGTGAATAGGACGGAATCTTGGTTCTCCACAATTCATAAAGAAATGAGATGCATAGATCCATGTATATCAAAGCACAGCTGTAATAGTGGGCACCACGAAGAGAGACTGGGAGGGGAAATTACATCCAGGCACAAGCATCAGGGGCAGCCTCATAAAGCAGGTGCTTCTGGAGGCTTCCTTGATGGTGCAGCAGAATTCTGATAAGCAAGGATAAAGTGGGGAACCCTCTAGGCAGAAGAGATAGGGTGGAGTGAGCCCCTGGAACAAAGAGCCATCAGATGACTTGGGTTATAGAGCTTATCTTCCCCCCCACACACACCAGCCTTTTGTTCTAGAAAATATCAGACAGTAGAGATTTCTCCCAAATAGAGAAAATAAAGTAAATAAACCCCTGTGAGCCATCACCCTGTTTCAACAATAATCAACACTTTCCTTTGGCAGAGTTAGTCCAAGGAGGTTATATCGGACCCTGAATGTAAAGGAGTTTAATGAAGGAGCATAAGGGGGTCTTTGAAAATTTGTGAGTAGAGGGTACTAAGAGTTGGGGGACTCCAACCCTGTGAACTCTGATGGACCAGGGGTTCCACCTTCATGCACCAAAGGTGGTTCCTTGCGGTGTGCTCAGCCTAAGTGCCTACTTCAGATGTACCCAGTGTTCCACTTCTCCAGTAAGCTCCAGTGGTCATAAAATCGTCAGTAGAAAACAGAAAAAAAGGCCAGAATTGACCTGGGGCCCCGGACCTTGTTCTAAAGCAGGTGTTTGGGTGCAGAAACCCGTTATTAAAATCTTACTTTGTGCCCTATTCCGTTGAACGGCGATGCCTCGTGCCTCTGACGAATGTTATGTCCATGTTCTTCCCTCCACGGATCAGTTAGACAACAGACGTGGGGACCCAAAGTAACACTTTTAAACTTGTGCTTTCTCTTAGGACCTGATTTACTAGGGGCCTGAACCTCTGGTGCCTCGGGGGTATTTCCTTAAATCGAGTGGGCATCTTCAAGAGCAGGGCTAATAGTTTTGTTTTGTTGTTGGCAAACCAAAAAATGAGAAGTTATTTGTTTTCTTAATTAACACTTCACAAAAGACAGCCTGACTCCGGGTGACCGCCATCGCTTCCTGGAGCCAAGCGCTTCACAGCAGGGCCCCTTGCTTTCCTGATGGAGAGTAAATGAGCGTTGCTTGCCTGCTCCCTGCCTGTCTCTCTCGTCCTTTCTTCCTCCTGCTCTACTCTGGCTTCATTTAGCCGCGGCCCTCCCCAACCCCCAACAATTCGGGTTCTCCGTCCTTTTGCGCTTCCTGCCTTGTACGTTTCCGGCTTTCGTCATTGCCAGCAGCGATTCCAGAGGAGGAGGTGGGTTTACTGAAGCTTGACATTAAGGCAAGAACCGTATTACCTAGCTTGCCTATTCAGATACAAAGGTGAGGGATGGGCTTTTTTTTCCCTCCCCCTCTTTAAAAAAAAACCCATTTGGAATTCCTGTTCCTCTTTTTATTCCCAGATGTGATTGGAGGCTTAATGGTCTCTCCTTCCTCCCTTCTCCTTGGTCTGATTTGACTCAGAAGTTAGCGTGTCGCTGTTCTCATTTGCCGGGGCTGATCAATAGAGAAAGCTGGGCTCACTGCCTCTCAGAGCTGCTGTCAGGCTAAGTAAATACAGACGCACCACTGCATACGCCGTAAGGAGCTGTGCTCTCCAGTGTTCGGATGGTGGTCGTGACGACTCAGTGGGTAAGAGAATGGAGTTAATGAGACCAAGGTCGAGGGCTTCATCACCCTGCAGACCGGTGATGAGCTCTGTCTCAGCTCTTAAAAGTAGTGTGTTCTCAGAGACCATTCCTTAAAGCTCTCAGCCAGCAAACAACACCTGAGGGCGCAGGCCTGTTCAGACGCAGGGCGCATTCTCTCAGGTGAACAGGTGGACGCACGAGAAGGGCGGTTTAGGTCTTTGTCAGATGGCGTCAAATGAGAAGCGCTCTACAAGGCATGGAGGTGATGTGAAGAGGCTGCCTGTCCCCAGACTGCCACTGGTAACAAGGGGACCCTCTAGAGAGGGGAACGGACTGGTACAAGTTCCCTACCTCCGAACGCCTCCCGCCTCTTTCCCTTTTCTCCACCAAAAAGAAGAACACATCCAGCTCAACATGAGTGATCTCTAGAATGAATACTGTTATGCTTGCTTGTGAATGGTAAAACACTAATACAGACATCTGTTAGCACACAGAAAGCTCTGGTCCTGAAAGAAGAGGCTCTAGAGTGAAATTATACATATCAAATACTCTAACCCCCAACGATCTGTTCCCCATAACTGGGGATACAGTCCTTTGGAAAAGTACGTTGCTGTTGATGTGACACAGAGATAATATGACAGAATGGAAGGACAACAGGGACATTGCGGAGGAGAACCGATCGGCCCCTCAACGGCCTGGCACAGGGAGGCGCAAAGACAGCGTTCCATTCACCCCCCGCGACTTCGCCTCATCCCTCCCACCGACTTTACCAACTCAGACATCCATCGCTGCACAATGGAAACTGATCTTGCCACACAGATCTTGGTGAATCTCGCAACCCTTCCCCCATAGGTCCCCCATCTGAGTACGTGACATTGAAATCACCCCGGGCAGCCATGTGGCGGTGCCAGAAGCTAGGAGGTTGGTGTTAGGGCTCAGAGGCTCCCCTCCAGACCCTGAGGGGAGAGGTGGGCCATGATACTGTTTCCAGTTGGGCAGAACAGACTCCTGACGTCCTCCTAGGTCTAGAGAGCCAGGATTGCCACTCTCTTCCCCTGCGTACTTACGAGAACGCAGCATTATACTTTAGAATTTCTCGCCCCTAGCGAGCCACGGTGACAGTGAAACAGGACTCCCAGCAAGTATGCTGGGCAATGGGCATGAGCCAGGACCACCCCAGACAAGCCAGCACGCGTGGTCAGCTTAGATGACATTTTTGAAAGGGCGGGATTCTGGAGTCGGGAGAGCAGGCTCTAATCCTCTATTCTGCCAAAGCTTAAGGGCTGAGTTGCTCTTCTCTGGCCCTCGGTTTCCCCAGCTGTAGGACAGGGATTAGCCCGAATGGTCTCCGATCTCCTGCACTCTCAACTCCTGCATTCCCTCCGAAGTCTGGGTTCTCCCTGGGCGATAAGAAGATGGCCAAGACATGTGATCTACCTTCAGGGCCTTGGGTAACTAAAATCCAGAAAAACCTAAATGTGTCCTGCTTGATGTTGCTCAGAAACAGCTGAACATCACGTCTGTCCTCACTTGTGTCACCTTATCAAGAACTGCCGATGATATTACCCCTCCGAGTAGTCAAACCAAGAGTGGCACGGTTCCTTCATCGCGTGACGAAAGCCTCCGTTCCAGCGGATCCCTTTTCTTTGATGGTTGTGACTCATTTTATCACCATGCTATGAATGAGTTAGATGTGAGGTAGATCGTGACGTAGGAAGGAGATGAACCGAAAAACGATAGCGCCTCGGTCACCAAAACCAGGAGGTAAATGTCTTCAGAAATGTCAAGTCGGCAGATGATGATAAAATAAATGTATTTGGTCACACACAGTTATATCAACTTCTTTTGACACCGTAGGTCCTGAAATCAGTTACTTTTAGCTTCCATGGAGTAATTACAAAGAAAGACTTTGTTCCAAAGCGTATATCCGATCGCCGGTAGGCCTTTGGTGGTAAAACTGCTTGAATCGTGATTCCTTGAAAGCTCAGGGAGCAACATGAAATGTGCTTCTGGCTCTGCAGAGTCACCCCTGTAGGACTGGCTCTGCACAAGTCTGTAGGGACAAGGAACAAGATTTGTGTTTATCATGTGCTGTCATCCGGTGACCCCTCTGGGCATCCTCTCACCCTTTCAGCTCTGTAGTCCCACCCTCTCCTCTGCCCACCCTCTCCTCTGCCCCATCTAAGGGAGTGGGAGGTGATTTTCAATCACTTTAATTTTAATTTTTTTAAGTCCTTATTCATTTTGGAGAGAGAGAGAGACACATAGAGGGTGAGTGGGGGAGGAGCAGAGAGAGAGGGAGACACAGAATCCCAAGCAGGCTCCAGGCTCTGAACTGACAGCACGGAGCCCGACGCGGGGCTCGAACTCACGGACCATGAGATCATGACCTGAGCTGAAGTCAGACGCTTAACCGACCGAGCTACGCAGGTGCCCCTAGTCACTTTAATTTGAAAATATTCACACACGCAGGGCTGTGATTGTTTCTGCAACAGTGGACACACTTTTAAGACACAAGTTTTGCTCTGGAGCAGCCCTTGGTCACCAGGTGGACACGGACATTGTAAGTGGTGAGAACGTTCCCGTGTCACAACAGTTGACCTCGATTCTCCGTAAAACCAGCACACGGTGACGGCCCAGAGAACAGAGAGAAGTCATTTCTCCGTGGGGAGTGAGGGGGGTGGAATGCGTTCCGGGATAGCCCACAGATTTTCATTTATGTGATTGCTTATGGCAAGAAATGTTTCGCTTCACCCCACCCCCCCCCCCCCCCACTACCAAATCCAAGTGCCCAAACACTGCTCTGGAGGAAGAAAATCTTACACAATTCTAATGAGATCATTAAAGAAGATGAGGTCTGTGAATCTGCTTCATAGTGACAAAATAACAGCTAACGTTTATTGGGTCTTTGCTGTGTGCCAGGCCCTGTTCTAAGCTCTTACGTGTCTAAACCATTTCTTCTTCGCAACTACCCTATAAGGAAGGTAATGTTATCCCCACCTGATGGATGAGGAAATAGAGGCCAAGAGCCCCCAGATTACACACTTACCGAGTGCCCTGGGTCTGCTTCGCTCTGATGCCTGTGTTCATTCCATTGCAGCATGAATGAGCTAACCAAATAACATTTTTGTTAATGTGTCTTGT